GTGTCTGTCATTCATACAGAACATTTATATCTTGCCCAAATTGGTTCACCGACAAAGGCGTGCCAGACAAAAGGGCTCAGACAAAACCGCCGCGACAAAACGGCGATGTTGAAAGCACGCCCACTAAACCGCGCCCACAAAACCGCGCCCACAAAAGCGCGATTAGGGTTTTTAGGTTAGGATTAGGGTTAGGTTTAGGGTAAGGGTTGTTAACGTTGTTACCTTTGTTTTCAATGGCATGCTTTTGTCGGCGTGCATTTGTCGACGCACTTTAGTGGCCGCGCTTTCAACGTCGCCGTTTTGTCGCGGCGGTTTTGTCGGTGCCCATTTGTCGGGCACGCATTTGTCGGTGAACCAATTTGGGCAATATATAAATGTACTGAATGAATGACAGCCACTTAATTATAGTGTGAGATTCATGTTTTAAAGTTATATATGATGCATTATCAACCATGTAAGATATCCATAATCCACCCACAGAAAAAATACAGACAGTCCTCAGTTTAAGAAAACAATTGGGAGCAGAATCTTGTGTCACTAAGCAAAGCCGATTGTTAAGTGCCTGATTTTACAACCTTTATTGTTGCATTTGTTAAGTGAATCACACAGTTAAGTGAATCCAGCTTTCCCCACTGACTTTGTCAGAAGCCTCTTGGGAAGATCACAAATGATGATCATGTGATAACAGGCTATAATCATCATAAATACACATCAATTGTCAAATTCCTGAATTTTTATCATGTGACTTCAGGGACACTGCAACAGCCATTAGTGTGAGGACTGGACATCAATCACTTTTCAAGTGCTCTTATACCTTTGAACAGTTGCTACATGAATGGTCATACGTTGAGGACTACTGATATAGGTCGACGCCACTTACACGAAGACGCACATGTCTTCTATAATACAACCACTAGATGGCATTATATTGTTTCAAATCCGGCCATTCTAAACAGGAAGAGCAACAAAGTGAGGTAGGAATTCAGATCTATTACTATGATACATCAGCCTTCAAAAAACAATAAGAAGTGTTTTTTCTTCTTATTGTCATGTTTTTAAGGAGAACATATCCTAGTAATTGTTAATATTGCTAGATGCAAATCAAATACATCATGAATGGCATGCAGTAAATTCCATCACAAATGCCCTTTAAAACAGTAGTAGAGAAACTTTCTGGCTTGGCGGATTAGTGGAAGCGGTGGCGGTAGAGGGGGTGGGAATGGTTTTGTGTGCATGCTTATTTGCGTACGGGCTTGGACATCACTTCTGCAGCCCAGTTAAAAGACACGTCACTTAAAAGTTTAATTTTGTTGCATGGAAAATTTTCTGGATCACTCATGTCAAACCCTTTCCAAGTTAGTCATCTGTTCTGACCCAGCTCGTCCCACACCAACACACACTCCGAGCCAAAGATAAGTTACGGCATTTAATTAACAGGCAGACAGGTCCTTGGCAGCAATCCAGCACAGATAAGGCTTGGCAGCAATCCAGC